TTCTGAGCAGGGTTAATGTAAAGTGCTTTAAGACAATGTAATGTTGTGAAGTTGTGAAACTATACAAATAAAATTGAATTGAATTGAAAGTACCGGAAGTTCAGAACCAAAAGTACAAAGCCTGATGCAGAAGAAAAGTGCCCTAAAGTTGCAAGTTGGGGTCTCCATGGATCAGACTTGTTTGTTTAGCTCATACCATATATGGATGCTTGATCACATTGAGATCTGGGGGATTTAGAGGCCAAGTCAACACCTTGAACACTTTCATGTTCCTTAAACCATTTCAGAACAGTTTTTGCAGTGTGACATTACCCTGCTGAAAGAGGCCACTGCCATCAGAAAACATCAAAGTATCATCCACATAAATGCCAGGACCCAAGGTTCCCCAGCAGAACTTTGCCCAGAGCATCACACTGAGCATGACTGTCATAAGGCTTGCCTTTTTCCCATAGTGCATCCTGGTGCCGTCTCTTCCCCAGGTAAACAACGCCCAGCCGTTCACATGATGTAACAGAAAATGTGACTCATCAGACCAGGCCACCTTCTTCCATTGCCCCATAGTCCAGTTCTGATGCTCACGTGCTCATTGTAGGCACTTTTGGCAGTGGATATGGGTCAGCAAGGGCACTCTAACCGGTCTTATGCAAGCTGCAATGCACTGTGTGTTCTGACACCTTTCTACCATAGCCAACATTAGCTTATTTACCAATTTGTGTTACAGTAGCTCTCCTGTGAGATCGGACCAGACAGGCTTCCCTCCCCACCTGCATCAATGAGCTTCGCGTGCCCATGACCCCATCGCCGGTTCACCGGTTGGCCTTCCTTGGACCACTTTTGGTAGGTCCTGACCACCCAGAACACCCCACAAGACCTGCCGTTCTGGAGATGCTTTGACCATCACAGTTGTCAAATTCTTAGATCCTTACACTTGGCCATTTTTGCTGCTACCAGCACACCAGCGTCAATAATTGACTGTTCACTTCCCTAATACATAATGGCACCCTTGGCAGATGCTATTTTGGTGGTGCTGGAGGTTGTGCTATTGTTCAGCAACTGAAGGATTGCAGGTTTGAGCCCTGGTTTCTCCTGACCCCATGGAAGTGTCCTTGAGCAAGACACTGAACCCCAAATTGCTCCTGGTGAGCAAGTTGGCACCTTGCATGGCACCCTCCACCACTGGTGTATGAATGAGTGAATGTGAGGCATGAATTGTAAAGCACTTTGAGTACTCGTAGGAGTAGAAAAGCACTATATAAATGCAGTCCAGTCCATTTAATGAGATAATCACTGTTATTCTCTTCACCAGTCAATTGTTTTAATGTTATAGCTGATCGGTGCATACATGGTTCATGACGGTTTAACAGAAATTGTAGTGATTAAGACCATTCCTATTTTCTAGCTAAAACATGGAGGACTGGAGTTTCCATGACCTTCATGAGATTTAAGAATCCTCACCAGTGCACATTACAGTCAAAACCAATATAGCTTATCTATTGATTTCCAGCAGCAGATTCACTGGTACAGTTTAT